TGCAGTTGTGGAGTGTGTCTGTAATGGTGGGCCTGACAGTACCTTTAATATGGAGGAACCTACCCAGTGCACAGGGAGCTTTCGCCAACCCGTGGTGGCACGGACCCATAGTGCTTCTGTGATGAGCCAGTGGGTGGGCACTGCACCTGTGTGCTTATGGCCTTCCCACCAAGTGTTTGTATCATCTATCAGTAACATGTAGTTACACAGCTCAGGTATCTGTCCTGCTGTTCGGTTCTCCACTGATGTGATTACCTGTTGAGTACAAAGTGGGCTGACATCTAGCAATGTTACTTGATTCCCCGTCATCTACCCCCAGCCATAGCATATCACAGGCCCCACTCCCTGTGCGGTGGTTGTGTTTCTTCAGATCAGTGCCTCAACAGCCTGGCATTGTTGGTCCCAGACAGAGCTGGTCTGATCTTGCTGCTGCCAATCAGTCCAACTGAGCAGGGACACCGGTGCATTTCTAGTTCAGTGCACATTCAACAGTATGATTGCTGGTACACACAGCAAATGTGTGCCCAGCAGACAGTGCCGTTGGCTTGACTTATCCTGGTTGAAAGAACAAGGCAGAAAGAGAAACCATCAAGGGAGGATGCATGTTTATTCTGTGATAGGATTGTGGCCAGGATCATTTTAGCCCCTGGCTTAGAATACCAGACCTAAATTTTCAATTTCACCAGGGGTAAGGGGTTGGAGCTATGTCCACCCTGCCATCCCTCCTCCTCCAGGGAATGGGCCCGGCAGTCACAGTGTCACTTCCCTTTAGATGGCGGACCAAGAATGAAGAGCATACTGAGGCCTTCAGGGGCCATGTTGAAATCCAAGGCTGTACGTCTGTAGCATGTGGTGGTCCTTCCCCCCAGGGTTCCAAGAGGAACACCTAATGTCCCATAAAGAAGACTGTGGGCCACACACATGTCCATAGATAGTCCCTGGCTGGATAGGCTCCATTGTGGGAAGGAGTAAAGCCCCTTTTATCACCTTGGGACCTTGCTCTGTTGGTTGAATACACAGATGAGTTGGTTACGTTTTTAGCAGTTGATCCAAGGGGCTATCACCCGTACACCAGGGCTGGTCATTGAGCAGTTTGAACAACCTGAGGTAAGACCCACATCCACCCGATGAACTTTGGAGCCAAGTAGGCCAATTTAGTTTTTAAGAGCCCGTTATAGCTCTCAATTATACCAGCTGTTTGCGGCCAGTAGGGCACATGGAAGTACCAAGTAGTATCATTGTGTTTGGCCAACTGTTGTACCTGAGTCCCTGTAAAATGGGTTCCCTGGTCAGACGCTATCTCATGGTTACAATGGTTGTAGGCAACCATTGTAATGCCTTTATGGTATGGGCTTGGTCAGTAGAGGGCACGGGGTAGGCAGTAGTCAGAGCATATTTGTGTCCCTGCAAGAGAGGCAGGGGCCCAATATAATCTACCTGCCATTGTAGCGGGTAGGGTGCCCATGGTATTGCCCCCAATTGTGTTGCACCCTTTTCCTCCAAGGAGCCAGATAAGTGTACCCGGGGCACACTTTCCCTGCTACTCATGACTCCACAGGAGTCAGGTCCAGGTTCTAACATTGTACTACAGTTTGCATGGTGTGGGGTACTACATGTCCCAGTTTCTTGTGGAATCGAGGTGCCCCTGCCAAGGGGAGCCCTTGGAGGACAACTACACTTGTCAAGGTATCTGCTAAATCATTTACTGGTGAGAGGAGAGACCTATGTCTGGACATACAGTACATGACATGTGTTATTGTTTGGCCATGCTCCCCTAAGTCTGAAAGCCACAGGGGTCAGTGCCCTGTCAATCTTGGGCCACCCCAGTCAGTAACCAAAGCATCAGCCCCCAGAATGTGGCCCAACTATCTGTGTAAACATGCAGGGGGCCCTCTTCGTGTATTACAAGTAACCATCCTGCCTGCAACTCTATCCATTCGTTCAACTTGCTTGTTCCGATTTTAAACCAAAGGGTTTCCTTATTGGACTAGACAGTGACTGCCATCCATTGTGGGGTTGTGCCATGGCTGGATCCATCAGTTACCAGCCCTGAGCCAGAGGTCCCTCTTTTTCTTCCATGTAGGGGCTAGGTGTCATGACCTGCAGTCTGTCAGCCTTTGCAGTCTCCTGTGCCATGTTCATAACGGATCCCAAAACTTGCCAATTTGGCCGCTAATGAGCTGGCTGAAAACGAGGCCCTCTGTTGTAAGTACATCCCCCCAGAGCATGGGGTGAGGGCCTGGGCTATCCCATTCCTGGGACTAGACATCCATGTACAAACCTAGCCCTGTGTTGGATATCTCATCTAGCATATAGCACTGCTATATGTTTCTTCATCAAGGAATATCAGCTTTTAGCTCCTTTTTGCAACTGGGACCAAAACACAATAGAGTGTTTCTGGGTTTTTTTGTTTGTTTTTGTTTTTCTCATAGACCCCAGCCAAAGCTAACACCATCTACACTAACAAGGTAAAAGGCAAGGTCGGGTCAATGACTTGGAGAGTTTGTACTTGTGGGACTGCCCTCTCTTGAGTCCTGAAAAGCAGCTTCTGCTGTGTCCCATGTCCCATCCTTACAGGTCATCTGGTACTGAGGGTGCAACCAGGTAGCTAGGAGTGGTATGAAAATCTGCCAGAAACTTAGCAAGTCCACATAAGCTTGTAACTGGTTTGTCTGGGGTAGGTCTGAATCTTATCAGTGATTACATTGGGGATTACTTTTGTCTTACCCAACCAGCTAACACTCAACAATCTGACAGACAAGCCAGGTCCTTGGACCTTGTCTTTGTCGATGGCCCACCCCCAGGACAGTAAATCTTTTTTCAGATTGTGCAGGGCAGCTTTCAAATCTGTAAGGCAGTTAGAGGTTAACATGATATTGATGGAATAGAACAAAGATACAGAGTGTGGCTCAGTCCAGGTGTTCGAGTCCTGGGCCACCAGGCCTGGACACAGAGTTGGGCTATGCACATAGCCTTGTGGCAACCCCTGGGAGGTCCACTGCCTGCCCTTCTAGGTGAAGGCAAATTGATCCTATCCATGATAGCAAAGGGAAAGAAGGTACTGGCCGGTTCCACCACATAAGTCTTGACCCAGTGTCAGGGTGAGACAATCCAGCAAGTCTGTAGTATTAGGTACTGCTGTGTGCAGCAGGAGAGTCACTTTGTGAATTCCCAGTAACGTACAGTCATTTGTCACTTTCCATCCGGCTTTGCATGGGCCACATCGGGGAACTGAAAGAGCTCTCTGTGGGGCTCATCACCCCTACCTCTTCCAACTTCAAGACAGTCTGTCCTATTTCCTCACGGCAGACCTTGGGGAGCCAGCCCACTCTGAGCTTTCCCCACCCAGGCTTGATACTGGAGCAGCTAGAGGGCTCTTGCCTCTAGTAGGCAAGGAGGCCCCACTCTGGCTCCTCTTACCTTTAGTCAACGGCGGGTACAAGCAAAGTAACACAAGATTCATCTACTCAGTCTCACTGAGGACCAGGTCAGTGGAGCTTCTTAGACGGCCATGATGAAAGTTGACGTGCAGCTATTACAGGCTTAAAATGTGGTATGTGTGAAAATGGAATGGCCTGTGTTTGATGTAAGTCTAGGGGTGATAAAAATAATAAATAATTATACATAAATATAAGCAATACATAATTTATATGTAATAAAAGAATAAAATTTTATGTTTTTGCAGCATATATTTTTCTTTTAATTGTCTTTTGGTCCTCTTTGTATTCCTTTTTTTTTTTTCCTTGAAACATATATATAGTATACATTTTAATCTTAAAGGAAACATCTTTTTTTAAGTCAGAGAACAATAGAATCTCCATCAAGTGGAAGTGAGAGCTTTGTTGAAATAAAGCCATGACATGAATAATTTTTTTTTTTTACATATTAAGACTACAAAAATGTGGTTTAACTACACTGCATCCAGTTGGAAAGGTTTTGTTATTGGGTTGAGAACTGCTTATTCTCAACATTGAAGTCACCATCTAACTTAAAGCCCACTCATTGTTTACATAGTTATATATGCTATTAATGTACATGCCTTAAGCGCCATGTATATGTGTTTTATTCAAGAAAACAGATGATTAGCTAAGGGAGCATAATTTACTATTTCTTCACTGCCTATAAATACATCATCTCCCCATTACTGCTCATCATAAACACTTTTATTTTTTGGCTAACTGGAAAAGAGTATTTATAACTTATTACCTAGTTTATTAAGCACCCACTGTATAGAAGGTGCTCTGCTTTTGAGATATGTAAAGCAATAAAACCTAAGATAAAAATCCAGGCATGGGGGCACAGGCCTGTAGTCCCAGCACTCTGAGAGGCTGAGGCAGGAGGATGGCCTATGCAACTTGGCAACTTGGTGAGAACACGTCTCAAAAACAAAAGCTGAGTATGTAGCTCAGTGTTAAGGTCCTGGGTTCAATCTCCAGTAATATATACACAGAAACAAACAAAACTAAGATGAAGACGGGCCAAGACTGATTATTAACTGGTACAAGCACAAATGATTTTGTATGCTAGGACCATGTTTTTCACTGGGTAAAAGAGGACACATTCCTGGGCCTGTTGAATAACTGGGGACCCAAAAAGCAACAAAAAAGAATGGAATTTTTAAGCACTTAATATGCACTGAACAATTTAATAAACATACATGTTAATACCCCTTCAATATAATATTTAATTTCATAACAAATCCATAAGGTAGGTAATATCCAACTTTATAGATGAGGAAACTAGAGAAATTAAGTAAACAGCCTAATGCTACACAATGCAACCAAAATATACTGTGAATATTTAGATTTTTAAAAATTTTTTATTATAATAAGTGACACATTCATTGTCTTTAACCCCTTCAAAATACTCCTCGTTGTTTTGAACACTTATTCCATCCTTCTTGCTACTTTCTGAAGCAGTTCATCCACTTTATTCACTGGAGCTGGCACCATGCAATTTCTGGCTCTTTACCAAAATGACCATCGGAGACAAACCTTTTTAACCGACTCAGGACATGGAGTTAGCCGAAACAGTGTGACCAAAGGCCCTGATGAAAAAAATAAATTTCAAAATTGCTTCAGAAAATAGCAAGAACCATGGGACGCGTCTCTGAGGCAAGGGGATGTATTTTGAGGGCAGTTAATGACGTATCTTTTACAGTAATAAAGTTAAAATTTTTTTAAGCATTCACTGTATTTTTCCATCATACATCATATACAGTACAGGTGGGATTTGAGTGGAAGTCTTGTGACTCCACAGCTCACGTTCCTAATGATAAAGGCAAGGTCCTTTATTTAATGTTAGAACACGACTGAACAAATAATGGACATTTCTTCAAATTGTGAGTTCTTAGCATTGAGTGAGCTTGAGAATCTATGACATGAAACGTTATTAACAATAACGTATCTCTGGAGATACATTTTAAATTTATGATGATCAAATGCTTTTTGTTTTTTGTTTGTTTTTGGTTTTCTTTGAGACAAGGTCTCGCTATGTAGTCCAGCTTGGACTTGAACTTAATGTGTAGCTTAGACTGGCCTCAAACTTGCAGCAGTCCTCCCGCCTCAGCCTCCTTAGTGCTGGGATTACAGGTATGTGCTACCACACCCAGCAATCTTTATTTTTTAAAGACAGGGTCTCAGTATATAGTCCATGCTGTCCTCAAACTCTCAACCCTGCTGGGGATTTAGCTCAGTGGTGCTGCACCTGCCTGGAAAGTATTCCCAGTACAAAAACAAAACAAAACAAAAAAACTCAATCCTTCTGCCTCAGCTTCCTCAGGCAGGAAGAATTACTGGAGTGTGCCAACACACCCAGCCAAACTCTTCTTATTAGAAATCTTATTCAACCAAGACCTGTCATCCCAATAATGAATGTAACTGTACTGTACATCTAAAATGTACCAATAAACTCAGTGAGGAAAAAAAAAATCTTATTCAACAGAATAAACGTGATCAAGTCAGGCATGGTGTCGCAAGCTTGTAATTCAAGTACTTGGGAAGCTGAGGCAGGAAGTTCACCGTGAGTTCCAGGCTAGCTGAGGGCACACAGTGAGTTCAAAGCCAGCCTAAACTACATAGGGAGACCCTGCCTCAAAAAACCAAAACTAGGCCAGGGATTTAGCTCAGTGCTTCTGCTGCCTGCCTTGGAAGAGGAAGGTTCTAAGTTCAATCCCCAGTATATATAAAAAAAAGTAAATAAATGTGATAAAAAATTGTAATATGTCCTAAAGTCATCTCTCAAATATCACCATACTGAGCACACATATTTCAAAGTTTTCACTACACATTGCTATTGATAGGTTTTTAAGGCAAAAAGCTCACAAAATACTGTTTTTTGTGAAGCTCTAATTCAGGTACCATAAAATTCACCTTTGAATGTTCAACTTGGTTGCTTTTGATATGTTTACTAGGTTTCACAATTATTGCCACTAATTACCAAACATTTTCGTCATCCTAGAAAGAAATTGTGTGTCCGTTAGCAATGATTAACCAATGTCCCTCTCCCCTCTGTCCCTGGGCACCACTGTCTACCTTCTAGCTCCCTGGGCCTGTGCGTCCAGACATTTCATACAGACAGTAGAACGTACATGTGTGGTCTTTCACAGCTGGCTTCTTAGCGTAACATTTTAAAAATTTACCCATCTAGTACCCTGTATCGGTGCTTAATTCAATGATTTGATTAAATATTCTTCTGTATAGATATACCACATTTTGTTTATCTGTTCATCAGTTTGCTCGTACTTTTTAGTTATTATAAAATATTGCTTTGAATATTTTTTTACAAGCTTTGGACATGTTCTTTCCATTCTCTTGGGCATAAATCTTGGCCTAGATGTTTGTCTCATAAGATAGCTCTTTTTCTTTTTTGTTTTTTTGAGGCAAGGCCTTGCTGTGTAGTTCAGGCTGTCCTTAAACTCACTATGTAGCCCAGCCTGGCCTCAAACTCTCAGTGATCCTCCTGCCTCAGCCTCCTGAGTGCTGTGATTACAGGCATGCACCACCACATGCAGCTCTATAAGATAACTCTAAGTTTGTGCGAAACTGCCAAAGTGTTTTACAAAGTGGCTGCTCTACTTTATATCCCCACCATCAATTCATGAGGGTCCCAGTTTCTTCCCATCCTCACCTACAAGTATTGTTCTAAAATATATTTTAAGTTGGCATATTTTCTTAGCATAGAGAGACCTTATCAAAACTATTGTTCAAAACATATTACAATGCTACAGTCGTCAAAACAATATAATGCTGGTGTAAAGACAGACACACAGACAATGGAACAGACTAGAGAGCTCAGACATACATCCTTAGCTGGGTGTGGTGGTGCATTCCTGTAATCCTAGCACTTGGGAGGCTGAGGCAGGAGGACTGCCATGTATCCAGGCTGGGTTACATAGTGAGACCCTGTCTCAAAAAAACAAAACAAAACAAAGCAAAAACCCCGCCACAAAACAATAACAAAAAAGAAATCCTTAAAGCCAGGCATGGTGGCACACATCTGTGATTCTAGCACTCTGGGGACTGAGACAGAAAGATCACAAGTTTGAGCCTAGCCTAGGTAATTTTGCAATTTAGTGAGATTCTGTATCAAAAAAGAAAATTTTAAAGGTCATTGCTATAGCTTAATGCAAAGGCCCTGGGTTTTAATTCTAGTACCAGAGAAAAGCCTCAAATATATGATTGGGGGGGGTCTAGCAATTAAACCCATGGCCTTTGCATTAAGCTACATCCCAAGCTCTTTTTAAAATTTGTATTATTTTGAGATGATATAGAAGAGAGATAATTCCCTATCTGATGTGTTGGGTTTGTGTTCCCCAAAGTAAAAAAATGAATTCCAAGCAACAGTGAGGGTTAAGCATAGGAAAGATGGGGGAGAGGGAGTGAGGAGAGGGAGGGAGGGAGGATGCACTCAGGAGTGGAGTGCAGGTGTGCAAAGGAATAAGACACAACTGGAAGCCAAGGAACGTGAAATAGGAGTCGTACCTGAGACACAGGAGGAGGTCCCACCCAGGTAGGTCACTGCCGAGGTCATCTCTCCAAGAATGTTTGATAGGGCACAGTCACGAGGTGGACACAATGTGGGTCCAACTATAGTCAACCAATAAGATTACAAGTGTAGCCATTTAGCTAGCATTGGTCCAATAGTGAAGCAGGGCACACAGCGAAGACACAAAGATGACATCGTTAACCTTGGTCAGTAATCTATAGTCTTACTCCTGTCTTTAGTCTCACTAGTCTAGTCTTTGTCAGTGGGAGAGGATGGACCACCCCTAGTGAGATACTGTTCTAATTCTTCTGGAAATCCCATAAGGGTAGGACCAATTACAGTATAATCTCAAACTTCCATTTTTCCCTTGGAGAAATATGGAAATCTGGCCATTGTGACTTTATTTTTTTTTAGAAGCAAAATATTTATTGGTACATTTTAGGTATCCATAATGATAATATTCATCATAGGGAATTTGTACCAGTATATATCGCTTCTCCTTTTCCCATTCCCCCTCCCTTCAATGCCTCTTCCCTTCCTTCCTTACAAAAGCTTTGTTTCCATCTCTTCCTATTCTTTCCTTTTCTCCTTGTCCCTTTTCCCCTCCCCCTCTTGTTTCCTTCTCATTTTTTCCCATTTCCCGATATCTACTATACATTTTAGTCCTTATTTTCACTTTCAGTTTCTTACGCCAGAGAAACAGTGCAGTATTTAAACATGGGCTTCTGATTTATTTCACTTAAGAGTATGGTCTCAACCCTTTAAAACCTAAATAAGATCTGGGTTCAGCCAGAGCAAAGCAAGTAGGAAATGAGTTTGGAATTCTGCTAAGAAAAACCACTAATATTTAGATCCATGACAGTATACACATGTATAAGTCTGATCATATGCTAGATATAAATAGTGAGCAGTAGTATTTATGAATGCTAAGATGATTTAAATTCCCATCTTTAAGAACTTAGCATGTGTCTATATTTATAAAACCTGAATCCTGTTTTGTTCTATGGTTTGCTATGTATCACCCAGCAATAGGATGCCCTCCAAAACGTTCACTAACCCACTAGCCTAATGGCTAAATTTTTGTACATGTGTGTGCACTTGTATATGTAGCACTTTTTTCAACTTGACATACATTATTTCATACATTAAAAAATATTTTATGTGGGGGGAAAAAGTATGGTCTCAAGGTGTGTCCATTTAGCTATAAATGTCTGGGGCTCACCCACTTTAAGGCAGGGAAGTGGGGAGGGGGCGAAGGGAGGGCATGGGAATGGGGAAAAAAATAACCAAGACCTTTCATGTAAAGGTACAAGATCCCAAGGATGAATGTAACTGTACTGTATACCTGAAATGCATCAGTAAATGTAATGGGAAAAAAACACCCCAAATCTTCTTTACCCACTTGTCAACTGCTAGGCATTTGGGCTGTTTCCAAAATTGAGCTATTACAAACTGTTCTGCTACAACCACGGATGTGCATATATATTCCTGTGGTATGATGCTTTCATTCTTTCATGGAAGATTCCAAGAAGGGAAATAGCTAGATCGAATGGAACCCCTAGTTTTAGTCTATGAGGAATCTCCACACTGATTTCCACAGTGGCTGCCTCCGTCTGCACTCCCACCAACAGTGGAGAAGGGTTTCTTTTGCCCCACTGACCTGTCAGCATTTATTATTGCATGATTTTCTCAATAGCAGCCATTCTTTCAGGAGCAAGATGAAATCTCAGCATGGTTTCCATTTGCATCTCTTGAATGACCAGTGATGTTGAACATTTTTTCCATATAATTTATCCATTTTCTTATAACCTCTTTGATCTCTTTTTTTTCAGAGTGCTGCAGTTTTCAATGTGGAGGTCTTTTGCTTCCTACGTTAGATTGAGAATGCTACTGATTTTGGAGTGTTGACTTTGTATCCAGTTATGCTACTGAACTTGGTTATTAAAACTAGAAGTCTTTTGGTGGAAGTTTTTGGGATTATCTATGTAGAGTATCATGTCATCTGCAATAATGATAACGTCTTCCCTTCCTATCCTTATTTCTTTATTTCTTTCTCTTGTTTAACTGCTGTGGATAATGTTTCCAGAACTATATTGAATAAGAGTAGTGACAGTGGACACTCTTATCTTGTTTCTGAATTTAGAGTGAAAGCTTTCAGTTTTTGACCATCTAGTATGATGTTGGTTGCTGGTTTGTCATAGATGACTTTTATAAGATTGAGGTGAAGACCATGTATTCCAATTTTTTTTATCATGAATGGGTGTTGGACTTTGTCAAATGCTTTTTCTGCATCTGTTGAGATGACCATCTGGTTTTTGTTCTTGGCTCTATTAATGTAGTGTATTACATTTTTTGATGTATATATGTTAAAGTATCCCTGCATCCCTGTGTTGAATCCTACTTGGTCATGGTGTATAACTTTCTTGATGACTTGCTGCATTCGGTTTGTCAGTATCTTATTGAGAATTTTTGCATCTATGTTCATTAAGGAGATTGGCCTGTAGTTTTCTTTTTTGGTTGGATCTTTCTCTGGTTTTGGTATCAGGGAAATACTTGGCTTCCAGAAATGAATTTTGGAATATTGCTTCCCTTTCAATTTTATTAAACAGTTTGAGAAGTAGTGGCTTTAGTCTCTAAGGTTTTTGTGGAATTCAGTAGTCAGTCCATCAGGGCTTGGGCTTTTTTTGTTGTTGGTAGGTTTTTAATCACATCTTCAATTTCATTGATTGTATTGATTTAGAATTTTTATATGTCCTTGGTTCAGCTTTGGTAATTCATATGTGCTGAGGAATCTGTCCATTTCTTCTGTGTTTTCCATCTTACTTGAATACAAGTTCTCCAACTAGGTATTGATGATCTTCTGGATTTCTGCAGATCTGTTGTGATTCACCTTTTTCATTCCTAATTGCAAGGACTTGAGTCTTTCCTTTTTTGATAAGGTTAGTTAAGGGTTTGTCAATTTTATTTAATCTTGTATAGAGCCAACTCTGATTCATTGATTCTTTGTATTGTTTTCTTAGTCTCCATTGCATTATCTTCTGCTCTGACCTTTATAATTTCCTCCCTTGTATGAGCTTTCGGCTTGACTTGCTCTTCTTTTTCTACATATATGAGATTTAACATTAAGTTGTTTATTTGAGCTCATTCTCTTTTTCTGTTGTGGGTATTCATGGCTATAAATTTCCCTCGTAGGACCACTTTCATTACATCCCATAAGTTCCCATATGTAGCAATGGCATTATCTTTTCTTTCTTTCTTTTTTTTTTTTCAGTATCAGGGATCAAACTCTGGACCTTGCACTTGTGAGGCAGGTGGTGGAAGTACTCAGCTAAATCCCCGGCCCTGGTATTATCGTTTAATTATAGAAACTATCTAATTTCTTCTTTAATTCATCTGTGACCCATTGGTTGTTCAGGAGGTGTTGTTTATTTTCCATGTGTTTATGTATTCTTGTGGTTTCTTCTGTAATTGATTTCCAATTTCATTGTGAAATGGTTTGATATGCATGGGATAATTTCAATTCCTTTGCTTTTACTTAAGCATGTTGTATGTACTAATATGTGATCTGTTTTGGAGAATGTCCTGTGTGCAGCTGAGAAGAATGTGTATTCTGATGCTGTAGGATGGAACATTCTGTAGACTTCTACTAAGCTCATTTGTTCAAAAGTTTGGTTTGGTTCTAATATTTCATTGTTGGTTTTTTGTCTAGTTGATCTGTCTATTTGTGACAGTGGAGTACTGAGGTCCCCCGTTACATTTGTAATAGTGCTTATTTGATTTTTCATGTCTATTAATATTTGTTTTATATAGTTGGGTACACTGGTATTTGGTGCATATATATTTATGATTGTTATCTCTTCCTCTTGGATTGTTTCCTTTACAGGATGTAGTGACCTTCCTTGTCTCTCTTAATCAGTCTTGGCTTGCAATCCACTTTGTCTGCAAATAGAATAGCTACTTCCCTGGTTTATTTCCAGCTTCCTCTCACGTGGAGTATAGTTTTCCATCCTTTGACTTTCAGCCTATTAATTTCTTTTGAATTAAACATGTTTCTTGTATGTAGCATATCTTGCTTCTTGATTCATTCTGCTAGTCTGTTTCTTTTGATTAGTGAATTGAGACATTAAAACTGGTAAGTACTGACTTATCCTTGTTATGTTATTTTCTTGTTGTGGGCTCCCTTTTTTCTTCCTCTGTTTAATTTCTTGCCTTGCCTGGTAGGTTCATTCTATTAGCATTCATGGACTTGTAGTCCTTGTTATCTCTTTCTAGAATATCCTTCTGAACATTTTGGAGTGCTGGTTTTAAGCTCATTAATTTATTCAAGTGTTATTTGTCATGGAAATATCTTATTTCTCCATGAATTCTGAAAGATTTTTCAGGGTTTATTAATCTGGGTTGCAGGTTGTTTTCTTTCAGGGCTTGAAATACTTTACTCCAAGATCTCCTTGACTTGAGGGTTTGTGTTGAAAAGTCTCTTATGATTCTTATGGTCTTTCCTTTAAAGGTTATTTGTTTCTTTTCTCTAACAGCTTTTAATATTCTGATCTTGCATTGGATTTCTGGAACCTTGACTATTAAATCCCTTGGGGAAGTTTTTTTTTTTTTAATCATGGCTAATTGGAATTCTATATGCCTCACTCGTCAAATTCTTTTTTTTTTTTATTAATTTCACTGATACATTTAAGGTATAAAATATAATGATATTCATCATTGGAAATTTGAACCTTTACATAATCCATCTTTGTTCTTATTTTTTCCCCATTACCTCCCTTCAACCCCTCCACCCCTCCATATCTACAAGGACTTTGTTTCTATTTTTTTCTTTTTCTCATATTAATTCCATTCCCTTCTTTCTCTTTCCTTACCCCTCCCACTTCCCCTTCCCCTGTGCACCTTTTCTTCCTATTTCATATTATCTGTTATACATCTTAGTCCTTATTTACACTTTGTTTCTCACACTCGAGAAGCTATTTGGTATTTACACATGTGTATTATTTATTTGTATGTCAAATTATTTTCCTTGTTTGTGAAGTTTTCTGCCATTTCTTCTGTGAACAGATTTCTTTTACATAATTTGCAGTATCACCTTCTTTTTCAT